TAAATCTTCGGCTGTATTCTTTTTTCTATGCGTGATGTTGTTGGCCCTTTAGTCTGTCCAAACGTGGTTATTTGGAAATGGGGCAGCACCCCACGCCCAAGGCGGGGGATGCGCTAGAAAGACCGCCCGTCTCAAAAAAGGTCTGCAAATAAGGCATAGGATTTCAGGACCATTGTGCAACTTTTTGCTTTTAATCATTTCTTCTCAGACGCTCGCTCTCTCTTTTGCAGTTATTTTTTCCCTTAAATCTTATTCCGCCTAATGCCATTTCCACAACAGGGTCCAGGGGAAATTTTTTCCTTGAGCCCGTCAAACCTGTACACTCTGTCCCCTTGCACCTTTTAAAAACCGTATAGGGGTCGGCCTCACATCTTCTAACCCGTCCTTTTTAGAAACTCTTCGAAATGAAGCTGAAACGAAATTTTAAAATTTAACATTTTTGAAGTTTGAAATTTTGTAAATGCCCGTGGCTACCCCCGGCCCCCTCAGAACCCCAGATATGAACCCCAGTGTAAAGGGCCAAATTTTGGAACCCCAATAGGAAGCCGATAGTAAAAGCCAATAGTAAAACCCAGAGGGTAAGCCCAATGTAAAGACCATAGTAAAGCCCAGAAGTGGGAAAGGGTGAAGGCCGTTGAAGCCCCGATAGTGAACCCCGATAAAAGCATGATGTAAACCCCGAAAATGACCCCGGGTTGAAGCCTAGATAATGAACCCAAAAGATATGAAGCCCAGATAATGAGCCCAGATATGAACCTAGATAGTAAAACCCTAATAGGGGGAAGCCCAGATAAAAAACCCCAATATTGAACCCCAGATAGTGAACCAAGATAATGAAGCCTAGATGTGAACCCCAGTAGTGAACCAGATATTGAACCCCAGTTTATGAAGCCCAGTGTGAACCCCAATTAAAACCCCAATATAAACCCCAGATTATAAACCCCCAGATGTGAACCCCAGATAGTAAAGCCCAGATATAAAGCCAGTTGAACCTAGATAGTAAAACCCAGATGCAAACCCAGAATGAACCCTAGATAGTTAAGCCAGATAGTAAGCCCAGATTGAACCCCGATCAAACCCCCCAGATATGAAGCTAATAGTGAAGCTCAATGTGAAGCCCAGATTGAACCAAGTAGTAAACCCCATAGGAACCCCAAATAGTGAAGCCCAGATGCGAGCCAGTGTGAAGCCTAGTAGTTAACCCAGATTGAAGCCCCCAATTTAAACTCCCCCCAACCCGATATTCGCAAGGGGGCCACAAAAGAAAATTTGGATTTGGGGTCGGGACTATCTCGGGAAAAAGCCAAACAAATTTTACCCCCCCCCAATGGAGGGGGCTTTGCACTCCCAGCTGAATTAGTAAAGCCAGATAGTAAACCCCAATTAAAAAGCCAGATGTAAAGCCCAGATAATAAAAGCCTAGATATGAAGCCCAGAGAATGAACCCCAGATAGTAAAAGCCTAAAATTTTGAAGCCTGTTTTTGGAAGCCCAGAAAATAAACCCCAGATAATGAAGCCTAATAGTGAAGCCTAGAAGTGAAAGCCCAGAAAATAAACCCCAATAGTAACCCCGATAGTAAACCCAAGAAATAAAGCCAATGTGAACCCCAATTGAAGCCCAGTAGTGAAGCCCGATTTTGAAGCCCAGTGTAAGCCCAGTAGTAAACCCCAGATTATAAAACCCCAGAAGTGACCCCGATATAAACCCCCAATAATAATAATAATGAAGCCTAGATAGTAAACCCCCAGATAGGAAGCCCAGATAGTGGGCCTAGATAGTTAAGCTAATAGTAAAGCCCAGTGGAAAGCCAATAGCAAACCCCAGATATAAAGGGCCTTTGATAGTGAATAATGTAAGCCCAAAGTAAAGCCAAGATAGTGAACCCCAGATAGTGAACCCCAGAATTAACCAGATGGAAGCCCGTAGTGAAGCTAGATAGTTAAGCTCAGATGTAAGTCAGTTTTAAACCTGCCCCCAAACCAAATTTTCGCAGAGCCACAAAGGAAATTTGGGGACTTGGGTGGGGACATCACCCCGGGGGAAAAGCCAAAAAAATTTACCCACCCAAACCAGGGGATGGCGGCTTTTGCACTCCCAACGACTGAGTTAAAAGTACAAAAAAAGCATGGGGGAACTGCATGGGACGAAAAAAAACAAAAAAAAAAGACGAGAAGGGTTTGGGTTTAAACCTATGTCCACTGGGGGTAAAAGGAGAAGTCGAAGAAGTGTCTTTTGGGATGATCTATTTTTAATATCTTAAATATTTCATTTCTGCGCAAATGAATGAAAATATGTTGTATGACCTTCTTTGTACTGAAGGAACGGGGCATTCTTTTAACGGACATCCTCAAAAGCCATGTTCTTTGTGATGAAAACTCTGTCGTCGCTGGGTAGTATTTGATCTCGCCCCCCAACCTGATTTAATATCTTAAGCACCAAACAAGTAAAATCTGATTATGTCCCCAAAAGTGGGTAGCGAAAAAAAGGGAAGATTCAGTACAAGATTACGGCGCTTTTAATCATGCGCCAGAGTAAAAACCCTCCCAAGTGGTTTTTGTATTTTCCAATGTTTTATATTGTAGGTTTTTTAGGAGATATTTATGTTATATTTTCTCTCAATCTTTGTTTTGGGATTGGGTGAAGACCGTGAGCTGGCTTTTTTATGGTGTGTGTTTTGCATTTTGGAGGGATGGAATGGGTGGTTTAGTTTAATCTTTTTCTTTGTCGTCTTTCTTGATGTTTTTTGTTTTTTTTTTGTTCAAATTTTTTTTGAGAAAAGGGGGGGGGGGGGGGGGGGTGGGGGGGGGGGGGGGGGGGGAAACCCCCCAGCCTCCCCAGCCTCCCCTTCTTCTTCTTCTTTTTTCTTTTCTTCCCCCTCTTCTTTTTTTTTTTCTTCTTTTTTTTTTCCTTTTTTCTTTTTTTCTTCTTTTTTTTTTTCTTCTTCTTCTTCTTTTTTCTTCTTTCTTCTTCTTCCTTCTTTTTTCTTTTTCTTCTTCTTCCTCTTTTTTTCCTTCTTCTTTCTTTCCTCTTTCTTTTTCTTCTTCTTACTTCTTTTTTTCTTTTTCTTCTTTCTTCTTCTTCTTCTTTTCTTCTTCTTCTTCTTTTTTTTTTTCTGTGCTATAATCGCCCAAATCTTCGTCGTCTGGTTTACACTTTCCACCCTCAAATCTTGTCTTTTTTTCTCCATCCTCATCCACTGCAACCATCAGCGCCATCTTTCCCCCACCCCCGGCCAACACCACAAGTATTGTAACCACCACCTTCATTACATCATCCCCTGCATCATCACCACCATCATCATACAACAACACCATCACAATCTGTTCTTGTTATTGTTCTTCTTCATTTTCCCCATTTCTGCTTCTCTTCTTTCTCCTCCTATCCTCCTCTCCATATTATTTGTCCAACATCTGCATCTCTGTATTCCTTTCCGTTAAATGTGTAGATCTGTCTATCTCACTGGTGCCCATTGACCTTCCTGAAAGCACTTCTTCTGCGCAAATGCACCTATAACATTCATCTATTGAAAGAATCAGCATTGATATTCAACAGACAATTTTAATACCCCGACCGTTCATGAACAAATTTCTGATCATGCACATTGTATCAGATAACACTAGACAGGGGGCATTACATTCACGTGTGCACACCCTCCCTCACAAGGTAATTTTTGCTTGCTGAAATATTCTATTCTGTGAATGACACAGGGATAACAGGGTATCGGGTCTGCTATCTTGTAATGCTCAAAACTTCATGAATGCTGACGTGCATTAAATGTAAGCCACTGCACTCTGGCTGGAGTCAAATCAGGTATTAGAGACACGTAAGTTTATCTGGCTGAAGAATTTAAATCACATCTCGTCTCCTCCTCATCCTTCTTTTTCTTCTTCTTCTTCTTCTTCTTCTTCTTCTTCTTCTTCTTCTTCTTCTTCTTCTTCTTCTTCTTCTTCTTCTTCTTATTTTTATTATTATTATTATTATTATTATTATTATTATTCTGCTGCTGCTGCTGTTGCTACCGCTTCTTCTTTTTCTTTTTCTTCTTCTTCTTCTTCTTCTACTGCTGTTGCAACCGCTTTTTCTTCTTCTACTTTTTCTTCTTCTATTTCTTCTTCTTCTTCTTCTTCTTCTTCTTCTTCTTCTTCTTCTTCTTCTTCTTCTTCTTCTTCTTCTTCTTCTTCTTCTTCTTCTTCTTCTTCTTCTTCTTCTTCTTCTTCTTCTTCTTCTTCTTCTTCTTCTTCTTCTTCTTCTTCTTCTTCTGTAATTCGTCTGACAATACATGATCACCAGACGGGCAGGCGGTCTCGTTAAACTCTGTACAACCGCACATCCCGGATTACGACATTGAGGCTCTAATAATCAATGGCATAAAAGCTTAAAGCAGATTTCCTGTCTAATACATTCATTTCAAAATATCCGGGAGATGTTTTCTCTCTCTCTCTCTCTCTCTCTCTCTCTCTCTCTCTCTCTCTCTCTCTTTCTCTCAGTCTGTCTCTCACACACTCTCTCTCACACACTCTCTCACGGTCTTTCTCTCTCTCAGTCTGTCTCTTTATCGCTCTCTCTCTCTTTCACACTCGCTTACATTCTCTCTCTCTCTCTCTCTCTCTCTCTCTCTCTCTCTCTCTCTCTCTCTTTCAAACACAGTTTCTTTGTTTCGTTCTTTCTGAAACTGTCCACCTCACCCGTTTTCTGTTTGTCCTACTCTGAGTCACACTCTTTCGCCTCGCCCGTTTATAATTTGTTGCATACATACATACACATGCACGCACACACAAACAGACACACACATGTGTGATATTTGTGTGTTTCTGTATTTATGGTGTATATCTTGGAATTTGTCTGTGTGGTAAAAATTGCCAAAGCTGAAAAAAAAAATATTAATAAAAAAAGAAAGGGGAGATATGAAGAGCAAGTAACGAGGCTATGTTGAAACCCCGGTATAAATAGAGGATACATGCATAAAAATGTGAAACATTTCCAGCAAAAACTTACATCTTAGTGCAATGTTTCATTCTCGTTCCTTCTTTCTGAAACGCATATGTAAGCAGCGCAAGGCTCAATTACGAGAGATTTACATTTCAGCATCTGGGATACAGAAATATGGAACGAGAATTCGTCGTTTTTGAACGGAAAGTTGAAGCGGAAAGGGAAATTTTCCCAAGATGAAGTTGTGTTGTACACGACGGAGACGTATTTCAGACAGCAATTCATCATTAACCACTGTTTTTCCGCCGGGAAAAAGGAGAAGAACCTTGTTTTTCCTTCATTCCCAGACACGAGTTTCTCAATGAAGCGCAAATCAGGACGACGTTTAGCAAATGTTCCATCACCAAACGCAACAGAGTTTTTTCCCCCTCGCTGCGTCCTCGATGACATAGTAGGAGATAATAACCACGGCAAAATATAAATGAGCTGTGACGTTTCATGGTCAATAAACACATGTTGGATTGTATTGTCTTCTAACGATAAATTCCCATCGGTTGAGCCCTTCCTTTTTGCATGCTGCAGTCAAGGTGACTGACAATCTTTGCCCATAAACCGCTTTCATTCAATCAAACACGACTCCCAGCAAGTATATTTTATACCATAGAACTGCAACGAGACATCTTTCCACGTGTAATAAGAAATCTCGAAAAATTTTTTACAAAGGTATCTCATTCAAACAATCTGGCAATTAATATTCATTAAGTCCACACACGAGGAATACCATTTCATTATTCGATTTTTAAACAGCGTTTGTCAAAGGCAGAGTTCGATTGTTCTTGTTGTCATACATGATAATCTACAATACTTAAATTTGATATTCCCTGGGTACTGAACGCTGCGTGGAGCGTAGATTAGATCTTGTATGAAGCTTTAATTGTCAACAAATTCCAGTTTTTCCAAATTCTGTGGTAAATCATTTATGTGGTAACCGCGTTACGGTATTAGAGGCACTATTGTGTAGGCTAGCCTCAATTTGCATATGTTTGTCCTGGTTTCAACGATATGCAATGTTTGTCTGCATGTGCGGGGAAAACCCGCGTTGCTAATGAGTATTAGGTTGTATAGAGTATATTTAATTTTTTTATTGGAAATTAGCATGTCTTTGTATAGACTTTACCAGTAGATAGGGGTAGATTAAGCATATGCAAACACAGGTAAAGTTTTGATTAATATAAAGGAATAACGAGATAGGATGGCAGAGTCGTGAAGATATCTGGGTACAAGTACAGAGGCAGAGCGAGAGACAGAGATAACGAAAGGCAGAAATAGGAGAAAGAAAGGTTGAGAAATTGATAGATAAAGACTGAAAGACATTTTAAACAAATTAAAGATTGAGAAATATAGAAAACTAAAGATTGCTTTTCAGAGTTACTTGACCATCTCTCCTTCTGCTCGCGAGAACTCTCTGCTACTTATTTTTACCAAGTACACTGTAAGAACAACATAAAGGAACGAAGGAAAACAGCAAAATGCAGGATCACAATTATGTAAGAAGTTTGAACAACGGATCAACATCATGGCACTCGGGTTGTTACCCATAAGTGCTCCGTTCTTTTTCTAACTTAAGTCTAAGTCAGAAGAAGCTCAGCACCGTGCACAGGCTCTGTAGCACCAGCGAGGATCCTGAAATAATTTGGGTAGGTTTTTAACTCCAAATTGTGTCCGGGCAGCGCCGTTTATCTATTGTTTTCGACTTCCAACCGCCAAGATTTTTAATGTGCGTAACAATACACACGGGCGTCCGATCTCACTACACAGAGACCAGGAAAAATACAAAAAGGTCAAAGTCCACAGAAAAAAAAATCCCAGCTCTTACCGGGAATTGAACCCAGAACCTCTAGCACTCGAGGCGGACACCATGCCTCGAGACCACACAGGCCCACACCTTTATGTGTTAATTAATCATAGACTGTAACTATAGGTCATCCAGTGCACTAAACGTTACGCCACTAACGCCCAGCTCACATCAGTGCACATACATTCCTCACTGCACGTCGGCTGGTAGTCTTCTTTTGCTCGAAAACATGTCTTCCTGATTATACTCGAGTGTCAAACTTCCCATGAAAACAAACGTAGAAGTGGAAAGCTTGATTGGGAGTGCAAAGTAGACGCAATCTACGGATGCACTTTCTTTTCTTTTTAAAACTTCCTAATGGCTGTGTTAGATCTAAAAATATGCGTGTCAAAACAGATTAGCGTACGTTCATTTATGAAATTGTCAACGTTTTTTTTCTTTCGTTTTCCTCTTTAGATGCCAGTTTTATCATAAACAGCGTGCAGTCTTTTTTTATAAGAGGAAACAAATTTGAAGACTCTACTAACAGCCAATCAGATGCGTCGCTCTTCAGGGGAGAGCAGTCACGTAGCTACAATAAAACTTCCTTGATAATTTATGATGAAATTCTGGCCGCCATGATTGGTCGTGACATCAGATCTCCAATGGATTTTATCAGTAAATCACTTAAGTTTCTTGCTGAGCGCTCTTAACCGGACACAGTGGGCCTGTTTTGCGCTATTTTGCAGGAGATTAGATAAAAAATGAACAGGCTTGAATTAGAATTTTTACTTTTTTTTTTTCAAGCCCGGTTTAACATGTTGCAGATTTGAAATGGCGCAGTAATCTTTTGGAGGAGTGCTGTTAAAATGAGCCTCTCCTGTGCTCCTTCTTATACTCCCATCCCACCATATATCCCACGCCTCAGAAATCTCTCAATCTTTCATATTTAAAAACAAAACACTCATGTTGAAAAGCTATCGCTCGCAGCATCGCATAACATTACCCGATACAAAACATGCGGTAGGGATTTTAATGGGCGAAAAATGATCTGCCTGTTTTCTTGAAGGTAGCCGGGAGCACGGCCACATGCGCGGCTGAGTATAGTTTTTTACGGTTAGTAGACAATAGTAGACTGCCGGTCCCAGGTATTTGATACGGTTCTGGCAGTGGCGTTCCGCTCCAGGTACGCTGTTTATGTTGTTGGCGGTATGTGTTCAAGTCATGCAGCATTTATTTTACGTTCATGTTGGTGTGGCTTTCCTGAGTCAAGGAGCATTTTGACATTATCTTCTGGATAAAATAGAAGCTTTCTAACGTAAATGTCAAGGAAAAAAAACATTAAGAATCAAATGCATCCATCGATAAAACGAAATCAAAACATCGACTACGTTCAACTTACTTCAAGCAGATTCGGCTATAATTGTGGTGTGCTTTTTGTGTGCCAAGTATGTTGCAAAGAATTTTTAATTGTACCAGAAGGAGTGCTTAGGCGGGTACTCTAGTACTTAGTAAGGGTTGTTAAAGGGGCAGGGAAGGACTAGTATACACGATATATATATATATATATATATATATATATATATATATAATATACACATATATATATATAATATATATATATATATATATATATATATATATATATATATATATATATATATATATAGGACATACAGGTACAGTTATACATATATACATACACGTGTGCACATTCATGGCAGCATTTCTCGAACAATGCTGTAACGTCAGTATAGCTTAAAAAAGAATAGCTACAGAAGGCATAGTGGCTAGATGGAAGCAGCGACCGACGTTTCTTCTTCTTCTTCTTTTTCTTCTTCTTCTTCTTCTTCTTCTTCTTCTTCTTCTTCTTCTTCTTCTTCTTCTTCTTCTTCTTCTTCTTCTTCTTCTTCTTCTTCTTCTGCTGCTGCTGCTGCCACCACCGCTGCTGCTGCTCGTCACCTTCCAGTAGTCATCTTATTTTTATATTTTTATTGTATGGATGAGCTGAGGACATATCGAACAATATCCTTCATAGACATCTGTTGCCTTCTCAAACAACTGGCAGGGAAAAAGAAGAAGAAAAAGAAGAAAAAAGAAGAAGAGAAGAAGAAGAAGAAGAAGAAGAAGAAGAAGAAGAAGAAGAAGAAGAAGAAGAAGAAGAAGAAGACTGCTAGGCCTACCAACTAAGCTACAAATACAGCGAGACCACACGAAACATTTCATTATGTATAATACTGGTTCGTTCATGATATTTAAGATTTGTCTTTCTAGCCAACGAACATTTCAGCATTTCAGTTATTTATCTGTGCAACATACAATTCGACAATATCGACAATTCTGTCTGCAGTCTATTATTCTCCTGTCCCAATTTATAGAGGTCAAATGATACAGCTAATGCAGCAATAAGGTTTTATGTTCTTAGTCGCAACTCTTTAGATTGTATTAATATAACATTAGAGGTACCCAGTGCCGATCCACTGAACTACTGTCAGAGGATTAAGGCTTACATCATTGACATCTAACTTTATTCTACAACAAACTTTGGTGTATTTTCTAACTGTCTGTTGTCTGTCTGTCTGTCTGTTGTTCTATCCGTTTGTCTGTCTGGACTTACATGACCCACTGTTTCTAATCCTTCATGGGTAAGGTCATTGATACGACACTAAGGTGTGCTATTTTTTTGGGATGACTGTCTTTCTGGCTGCCTCCGTCGCCTACCCAGCCTGATTTTCTATCTGTCTACCTCTAGATGTCTAGCCTGCCTACCTACTTGCCGTCTACCTACCTACCTATCTACCTACCTACCTACCTGTTATCTCACATTATTCCGTCCTCTCACAAAGTTTTTCTCTCTCTTTTTTCATCTGCAGGCCTACCTACCTACCTGCCAACTTATCTACCTGTCTACCTATCTGCCTGCCTACCTACCTAAATACCTGCACCTATCAGCATGTCTGCATACGTACCTGCTTACCTATCTATATACCCAACTACCTGCCTACCCGTATATTTCTTTCCTCACGTAAGATCTCTGTCTATATACTTAGCTTCCGCCTATCTGATTATCTATCTACCTACGCGTCTCATTGCCCGCCTGCGCCCTTCCTTCCCCTCGCCACCTCTCTCTATCTTGTCTCTGTCTCACTATCTCTTACCCCCCCCCCTCTATCTCTCTCTCTCTCTATATATATATATATATATATATATATATTTCTGTATCACTACCTCTACATGCAAACTATACCACTCCGCAACTCTCTCTCTCTCTCTCTCTCTCTCTCTCTCTCTCTCTCTCTCTTCTCTCTCTCTCTCTCTCTCTCTCTCTCTCTCTCTCTTTTCATCGCCATCCACCCCTGCACTTCACGTCCCGCCGTCAAATATTTGAACACTATGTAACCAACCTCGCTCCGTCCTCGTCCAATATTTTGACAATCTCCGGGAACCGGAGAAGCACCACTCCGTGATCCCGCTGAGGCAACAAGCATAGATACGACCTACAGATAACACGAGCAAATGCAGACACCTATACACGTATGTAGTCCTCACAGGGCTGCTCAAATTGGTACTTACGAATACATTTAGCACAAATTAATCTCTCTCTCTCCCTCTCTCT